AATAAATAATCACAGGGGGTTAAACATGAGATCATTGTATTGGAAAATAGAATTGTCCAAATAATGGAATACCACACAAAATAGCCGAAACAACCAGAAACATATTAAGCATCGTACTGACTAGGGATGCACCAATACCGTTTTTTCCAGGCCGAGTACAAGTACCGATACTTTTCATTAGTACGCGCCGATACCAATTACCGATACTTTTTTTTTAGCGTCATGTGAGTTTTTCTAAAACAATACAGACTAATGATTTTAGGACAGTGGTGAAGCGTCAGGTCCATGTCACAGCTGCAACACTGCTAGATTTGCCACTCCAGGCTGTAGAGGAACTACAAATCCAAACAATACATTATACAGCAATGCAGAATAATACCATCAGTTATAGAGGAATACAAATCCTACCACTACTTTATACAGCAGTAGATATTAATACAATCAGCTATATAGGGACTACAAATCCCAGCGATACATGATACAGCAAGCATACCATCAGCTATAGAGGACAACAAATCCCAGCAATACTTTATACAGCAATGCAGAATACCATCAGCTATAGAGGACTACAAATTCCCAGCAATACTTTATACAGCAATGCAGAATGCCATCAGCTATAGAGGACTACAAATTCCCAGCAATACCTTATACAGCAATGCAGAATAATACCATCAGCTATAGAGGGGCACAAATCTCAGCAATACATTATACAGCAATGCAGAATACTATCAGCTATAGAGGACTACAAATCTCTGTAATACATTGTACAGCAATGCAGAATAATATGAAGCTATATACTCTGTGTTGCTCAGTAGAGCTCTACCAGGGCTGCGTACGGGTCTCACCTGGGCTGTATTTGGGTCTCACCAAGGCTGTGTGTGGTCCCACCAGAGATATGCAGATCTCACCAGGGCTGTGGAGGTCTCACCATGACTGTGCAGTCTCACCAGGGCTGCGTGTGGGTCTAAACGGTGCTGCGTGCGGGCCTTACCATGGCTGTGTGGGCGGGTCTCACCAGGGTTGTGCCGGGACTCTCCATGGCTGTGTGGGCAGCGGGAAGGAGGAGATGTTCGGCCGGATCAGCGCTGTAAACAGCCGCCGTGAGGTCCCCGGCAAGTGTGGGACCTTACGGCAGCCGAAGTCATTTCAGAATTTAAAGGGCCCGTATCGGCTTTAAGTATTGCGGCTTTTTTACGAGTACTCGTGAAAATGCCCACTACCGGCATTAATGCAGATGCTGGTATCGGTATTGGTGCATCCCTAGTACTGACACTACTATAAACATCCACAGAGACACAATCAGTACTGTACTGACACTACTAGAAACATCCGCAGAGACACAATCAGTATTATACTGACACTACTAGAAACATCCACAGAGACACAATCAGCACTGCACTGACACTACTAGAGACATCCACAGAGACACAATCAGTATCATACTGACACAACTAGAAACATCCGCAGAGACACAATCAGTATTATACAGACACTACTAGAAACATCCACAGAGACACAATCAGTATTATACTGACACAACTAGAAACATCCACAGAGACACAATCAGTATTATACTAACACAACTAGAAACATACGCAGGGACACATCCGCAGTATTAGCCCTCGTTCACACCTGAGCGTTTTCTAGTGCGTTCTACGCTTGACGAACGCTCTACAAAACACTCAAAAATATAAATCCCATTGTATTCAATGGTCTCGTTCCCACCTTGGCGTATTTCCGCCCGTCCCTAACGCGCTACAAAACGGCCCACGCCTGAAAAGGTACCGCAAATCGCGGTAAAAAATTGTGCGACGGTCGCGCATATGCAATACGCCTAGGTGTGAACGAGACCTTATACTGACACAACTAGAAACATCCGTAGAGACACAATCAGTACTGTACTGACATAACTAGAATGTCAGCAGAGACACAATCAGTGCCATACTGACAAAATTAATCATTTTTCTTGGTCCTGTTTATGGCTTTACCCATAGTTTTCTTCCTTCAATTTGCTGCTCAACCCAAAGGAGTACAGAAAGGGCAAAACGTGTATTGTTACTTCACTAAAAGGCTTTACAGGAGGACCATAGAGAAGGGAAAATACCACTTATAAGTAAGTGAGAACTGGTCATCCAAGAATTAGGTATTTTTATTGGTTAACTTGAGTTATTAAAGATGCAAGCTTTTGGGACCCCTCCGATCCCTTCCTCGGACTATATAAAGCTGGGTGACATGGCATGACTTTAAGGTTCTCTTCAAACCTTTTGTATTATTTGAACGCAGAGCAAAATTCTGCATTTTACATTGCACGAATGCAGTACACAGTAAGGCATGCCACTCTCTGCGGTGCTTTGTGATGCCATTCATTTATAATAGCACCCCAACTCATAAAAACAGTGGGAGCTTGCAGACCCACCTTGTGCTAAAAGGTTGCTGTAGGTCCAGCTATCTTAATGCAGCATATATTAACGCAAATGCATTCCTACAATGCACCACAATACTGAGGTGTTAAGGAACCCTTAAGAATAATGGAGTGTATACAGCTCAGTATGCCGTTTTGCCCTCCCATCCTCCACTCGGCTCACCTCTGTAAAATGGTGATAAAAATGTCAGACCCAGACCAGACTTATGGCCTTCCTGAACACTGTGACCTGCTTTTTCATCCTGGGAACAGTTTTTTCTGCATTCCTACCTAGGGATCTGCACAATGAGATATAACTTAAAGGAGAACTATGAGGTGAGTGCTTTTCACTCAGCCTCATAGTTCTAGCCGACCTTTGACAATGAGACTGTCACCGGTCGGCTCAGTAGATCGGGAGGTGAGCGAACACATACCGGCGTTCGCTCACCTCTCGATCCTGTCACTGCAGAGAGCCGTGACAGGGGAGGGGCTGGATTCCCCCCTCCCCGCTCTGATCCTCCAGCGCTGACTGGCGGAACTGACGGGGGAGGGGGCGGGTACAGCTGGCTCTGCCACTAGATAGGCAGAGCCAGCTGTCAGTCACGCAGCTGGGCGGATCCCGGCATAATTGTCGGGATCCGCTTCAGCTGCGGCGTCTCAGTATATAGTGAGCTGTAGCTCGCAGTATACTGCGGCGTCTCAGTATACCGCGAGCTACAGCTCGCGGTATACTGAGCCTAGGGTGACGGGAGGACGCTGGTTTGTGTCCTCCCGTTACCCTAAGGAGAACTATGAGGAAAAGCCTTAACCCCATAGTTCTCCTTTAATAAACTTTATGACATGCCTTTCTCCCTGTCTAGCTGGTGAAATATTATTACATACCACCAATAATGATAATGCATATTATTTGTATTGCCATCAATACATAACACACATATACATTAGACTGGTGGTGTGTGTGCCTCCCCTACTATCCTCATACTGCAGCCAAGGTCCCAGGGGCACATTTGTAAGAAGAAAGGAGCAGACCTCGCCCCAGATCTGGTGGCCTGGGGAGTGAAGAAAAATCTTCACCTCTTGTGTCCCGGTCATGGTGACACATCATGGAAACACATGCACATTTTCCCTGGTGGGGCCCATGTACCCCAGTCCAACAATGGCAGATAGTGTGAATGTAAAATAGAGAAGAACGTATTCTAAACTGCAATTACATTTTCAATAAAACATTGCATTTAACTTACTCTCAAGTAGTTTTATGTCCATGGGGATCTCAAAGCGGCTGATGTGATTGGACACTCCCATCCCGACTGCAACTTTCTGGCTTGTCTGAATCTGAACAGAACAAAATGGAGTCACACTACCTGGTATTACTTACAGTGATATTACACCTCAAGGAACAGGAACTGTATGGGTAGCAAAAACTATGCTAGAAGCAATGATATACAATGCTATGAAGCTATGTTCATGCTCAGATGTTATAATGCTGCAAGCTGTGTACATTTCTACCTGTAACTTTGTATAGACCAGGGGTCAGCAACCTTAAACACTGAAAGAGCCATTTGGACACGTTTACCACAGAAAAGAAAACACCAGGAGCCACAAAACCCTTTTGACATCTAAAATGAAGATAACACGGCATATGTCATTTTTTAGCTTTATGCTATGTATAGCATGTATATAGGTATATGTGGGCTTAGTAACGCACTGGACTCTGGGCTTACCTGAGACCTCGCAGAGCCCACCTGAGAGTGACCCTGCAGAGCACACCATAGATCCTGCACAGCCCATCTGAGACTCTCTATGGTGGGCTTTGCAGGGCCTCAGGTGGGCTGGTCGCCGGGGTTTCTTTCCCTGTACCTCCTCCCAACTCCTCTTACCTACTGCTGCCGGGGCCTGGCCTCCTCCACCCCATCCCCTGTCACCTCTGCCATGTGGCCCCTGGTACAGCTGATACTCATGTAAGAGGCCCCCCAGGCTGCCCAGACCCCTCACATGGGTAGCGGCCATACCCCCCTGATGGCGGTGTTCTATCAAAGTTTGTGACTACCCCCCCGCTCCTCATTCGGACTCCCCTTGCCAAGCTTCACAGCCAGCAGCATCCTAGCCAGATGGTGTGCACTGCAGGCATATGACACACACTTCTCCCGCCGCCTGTTTCTAGGGACGTAGGCGGGAGAGGAGGTGAGTCACAGGACCTGCCCCCCTTGCTGAGAAGCCCGTCGGCAGTGCGGGGCCCCGGCACCCTACACTGCCGCATTTTCCACCGGAGGGGGTGCCCAGGACTGGACCTCACTGGGCCCCCCCCCACCGCCTCAGGCCCCGGCTGTAGTTCTGCAGCAGAGCGATGAAAGAGCCACATGCGGCTCCGGAGCCGCGGGTTCCCGACCCCTGGTATAGACAAATGAAGAACAATCATTTACTTACATCCGCTGCATACTGACGGAGTTCATTCATCCCCATAGCTTCCGGTTGTTTTGCATATTTTTGCATAAGTTCTTGTAGGCACACCTAGCATGATGGAGTGCAACATGTTAGCTAGTGGCATTGAGATAATTTTTTTTTAAAGCAGACATGATCATGTGAGTGTTGGGTTTGTATGTTGTTAACCTTTGACCATGGACTACCAGCTCCAGCTTCCTGGCAGATCTAACACTGTAAGGCAGAGCTGTGAAATAAGCTACATGGCCAGTAATAGTTTTTCTCTCTCTTGCCTTTTGGTTGTTGAAGTTAAAGTAGATCTATACAGTCTAAACAGGTTTTATGGGATGCAAGAGCCACATAAATGATAAAAAAACAAACTTATTTTACCCCCCTTTGGGCAGCCAAATCCTCCTCAATTTGTGTCTAATGTGCTCCCCCTCCTTGACACTGCAGCTCACAGTGGGAGGGTTCAGTAGTACAGGCAGTTCTGCCAATCTAGAAAGCAGTGGGCAGGGCTAGGTGTAAGCAAATATTGTTTACATACAAGAGCCGTGTGTATTCTTACTTGAATGTTGATGTGATTTGTGTATTTTTTCCAGATCTGGACAGTACTCCAGTCTGAAATGTTGCCTCTGTGCTCTGATGACAAAGACCAGTCACCGCTACTCTCTCTCTTAGTGCAGGGTGACTGGTCTTGTTCCCGCCTCTCTTTTAGTTTTCTGCAGGCAGCCTGTAGTGGGTGGGGCCTAAAGGGTTCCTCCCACAGTTCTGCTCTCTACACAGGCTATGTACAGTGATGTCACTGCTACTTTTACAAGGTAATATGTGGGTTGCAAAGGCATTTTGTGCAAACAAAAGGGGATTTATGTCCATTCCGGCTATTGAGGAATATATTGTAGGGCCTTGCACATGGGCACATTTAGGGGTGTACACCTAAAACTAAACACCAGACATGAAAGCTTTAATTTAGGGCTCATGAACACAGGCCCATTTAGGGGTGTATGATAAGAAATATGGGCTTTTGGGACTACACAGCTGGTGTGTACAACCACCCCTTTGACATGAATGGTCGTGTGCAGCTGGACTTGGGTACAGATGTATTCTCTGAATGCAGACTTTCTGTGTTCAGGGACTTTGCCTGTATGCTAAATGTGGGTTTATGTGAATACCAGCATATACCTGTGTACAGCCATTCATTACTATGGGCAGCTGCACGCACCAGCTGTGTATTCCCAGGGCTAAAGAAAAGCCAATATTAACACCGTAGATCCCTAAATGCACCCGTGTGCATGAGCCCTGGATGAAAGCTTTCATGTCTGGAGTTTTGGAACACCTATTATACACAGAATACAAGAAACGTGTTCAGTAATCTGTTGGTGCAGTAAACGGGGAAAAACACTTTCGTATCAGGGCCAAAGCTGGGCATGTGGGAATCGCAGGGCCAGCGGCTGATGTCACCTCTGCTGAGAGCTGTCCTAGTGAATAAAATGAAATAGATTGTTTATGATTGCCCCATCTATTACCCTCATCCTTCCTACCTCTGGATCGTACACCAAAGGACTATAACACCGACTAGGTTCTGGTACACGATCCGCTTTGGCACTTTTCTTTATCTTTTTTTTCTTTCTTTTTGTTCCGGATCCATTACGTCGGCTCTCAGGTTGACTGTAAATAAAAAACAAGCGCATTACGCCCTCGCAAAATACTACAGAGCTAAATGCATAGTGCAAACGTGAAACTGATCACAGCCCAGGCGTCAGGAGATCTCTGTCAATGATTTGGGTGCACATTTTAGGTGTGGCGTTCAGTCATATGACCTGATATCTCACGTTTATTGTGAACCCCTATGAGCTGCACAGTTTATAATTCATATATAATGCAGAAGAAGCACAAATAATCATTTGTTTTGAAGAAATATTTGATAATAAAGCTTAGGACAGGCAACCCTTTATTATTATTATTATTATAATAATTATAGGACTTATATAACGCCAACAGTTTGCACAGCGCTTTACAATATAGGGAAGACATTATAATTACAGAACAACTCTCGGCATTTTTAAAATGAACCCTTGCAGTCATGGGCGTAACTTCAAATCATGGGGCACCATAGCAAAACTTTGCTCTCTTTAATGGCTGGCAGTAATAATGAAGTCACTCACATCTAGGTGGCAGAGAGTTGTGTCATTGCAGAACAAGCTGAAGTGTTCTTGCCATACCTTTTTGACCGAGAGCTGCCAGATAATGCATTTGATTTGTTTCCGGGAGCCATTTTAATTTCTGGAATAAATGAAATGAATTGAAGTTACTGTAAGGTGTTTATACTTTGTACATTACGGAGAGAGCAGCTGAAAACAAGAACATGTTATGATGATTAGGACTGACGTGAGTCTTCAGACAAACCTGGAGATAGTGGTATCCATCATTCCTTGAAGATATTTAAAAAAAAAGGCTCTATTTCCTGTTGGTCACCGCCATGATATTTGTGCCCATTCAGCTTTACACCCACAGCATACACAATCGGCTAATACCCACATGCAGTCACAGGCCATCAATGAAAATGAAAAAGCAGACAAAGCACACAATAACACAGCATAGGAGCACACAAGTCATATCACACACTAGCTCATAGAATGCAGGCCACACATAGGCACAGCACATACAATCAGAGAATAGCACACAGTCAGAGCACGCACAGGGCACAAATAGTCAGAGCACACACAGACTGTGTACATTAGCTCATAGCAAGCAGGCCACACCCAGGCACAGCACATAAGGTCAGGGAGTAGCACACAGTCGGAGCGCACACACACACACGCACGTTACAATACCATTTATTTATGCTGTGGTATTACAAGAGGTTGGCAGCATTAGAGAAGACCTACTATCTCAGCTCTTAATATAACACAGACATTATTTGTGTATTTAATGCATTCAGGGATCTCAAGTCTCCCTGATGTTCAGGGAGTCTCCCTCTATTAGATAACGGCTCCCTGATGTCCGCAAGAGAGGCATTTTCCCCCTGAAAGGTTTTGTATGTATGTATGTATGTATGTATGTATGTATGTATGTATGTATATGTGTGTGTATATATATATATTGTATTAAATAGTACAGCGCTAAACGTCCTTCAGTGATGGATATCGGAAGATCCAAGTGTTATGATCCGACCATAAAACATTTCATAAAAATATATGAAAAAGTGTCAATCACATCTAGTAAATGAAGTGAGAAAGCTGACAGTATGTGAAAGGATAATGATCCAAATTAAAGCAATGTATAAAAAACGACGGTTCAGTAGACAGAAAAAATATATAAATCAAATATATACCTTGAAAAGTAAACACGTGTGTTAAATCTCAAAAAGTGTTCAAAACATGTGTCTTGTGTGTAAATTAAACAACATATGTCAATGCAATGTAAACAACACTCTACGTAAAAAACATTCCACATAAAAACTGTGTAAATTGGGTCAATACTTTTTCCCAGTTTTTTTTGCTAAAATTAGGTACCTCGGCTTATATTCGGGACGGCTTATACTCGAGTATATACGGTATATATATTATCTTAACTATTTCTTTTATATTCTGACGACGGCCGCTGTAAAAAAAAAACAAAAAACCAGAAAGGACAACTCCCTGAAATGAGACAGGAACCTCCCTGAAATAAGGTTTTGCAGGTTGGGATGTCTGTGCATTGCTGTGCTGATATGGAACATTACCCTTTTGTATGTCTTCAAGGTAGCAATTGAAATCTAGAGAAATATTGCTCAGTGTGCTAATGCATATTATGAAGACAAGATGACTTTGCAAAGATGGCAGGTGTGTGCAAAAGTACTTTGAGCACAAGTCTGGAAAAAATGGTAGGTGAAGTGTTTGTAGATATTTAATAGTCACATCATTGCTGTATGTATAAGGAGCATGCCCTGTCCTACAGTCAGTGACCGATGTTTGGAGTGCTGGTGGGTAATTGCCAGCAACAGGAAAGCTAGATAGGGCAGAGGAATACTCGCATGTTGCCATATCTGCTCTCATGGAAGTCTCTCTAGTAACATGGCAGCAGTGTGTGGTAACATGGCGATTGTTGGTGGCAACATGCAGCTTTCTGAAGCATCACAGCAACATTCTCTGGTGACATGCAGAACTCCCTTTCCACAAAGCAACACCTTCTGGAAACAAACCTCTCTCTACTTTAACACTTGTGAGCCACATGGCTCCACTCACACCCTTGTGATTTGGGAATGTGTGAGGCCGCATGCAATCCCGCATCACAAGTTTCAATGTTAGGCGCTGCACCGCCATTATTTTTTTAATGGCACCCCAATGCAGCTTGGCATTGAATGTGTGTTGCATCACACCACATTGCATGTTGACCTATTACTATGCGTTGTGGTGGGATGTGACCTAAAAAAGGTGCTTGCTCTTCTTTCGGTGTGATGTAGCTGTGGTAGGGAGCCCAATCAGTGAATGAGCTGAGCTACCATAGAGCACCACGAGTCACCCCACAGCACCTCTGCAATGCCTTATCTCTGAAGTGTGAACGGGGCTAACTGTTATATTTGCATTTTCTACTTACTTGACAGCCAGAAAAATAGAAAATACAAAACATTATACTTCTAATATTACAATAATATCAACTGTTATATGTAAAGATCATGTAGATACATTATTGTGTGTCTGATTCACTTCTTACCTCAGAAGACAAGCCTCCCGTGCTGTAGTTATGTCTGTAGAACCTCCTCTCATTGCCTCCACCAGGCTTCCTGTAAACACTATGGCTGCCCTAACAACGAGGCTAGGAGAGGTAGGAGGTCACTCTACTACTGGGAGTGACCAGCCTGCAGCATGGTGACACAAAGCTCATTCACAATAAAGAATCACATTTATACTGCATGTATAATAGAGTCCAATGGAACGGCAACTCAAGTCATGCAGGTTGTACTGAGAGCCCTCTGCTACCCAAGTACATGCAGCAATGTGTGAAATGCATGTATGTGTGCCCTTAAAGACAATTGTACATGGAGGCTGCCATTGATGACCCTTCATATGAAGGGATTACGATTTTAGAAAACCTCTGGTGATGTTAAAACTCTGTTTCGATCATTGACGGCCCTTTTATGCCATTGCACTGCGGAGATTCGTTATGTGCATTGCTGCGCTGCCTTTCATTGTGAATGAAAGGGATTCACCTAGACAGTCCGGGTTCCATGGCAGCTGAGACTCGGACACATGATATCAGGCAGACAGGGGCAACCAAAATTAGTATATACCTCCGTTACATTGCTGGCCAGTGTATATACCTGTTATATTGCTGATCAGTGTATATACCTCCGTTACACTGCTGATCAGTGTATATCCCTCCGTTACATTGCCGATCGATGTATATACCTCCGTTACACTGCTGATCAGTGTATATCCCTCCGTTACATTGCCGATCGATGTATATACCTCCGTTACACTGCTGATCAGTGTATATCCCTCCGTTACATTGCCGATCGATGTATATACCTCCGTTACACTGCTGATCAGTGTATATCCCTCCGTTACATTGCCGATCGATGTATATACCTCCGTTACACTGCTGATCAGTGTATATCCCTCCGTTACATTGCCGATCGATGTATATACCTCCGTTACACTGCTGATCAGTGTATATCCCTCCGTTACATTGCCGATCGATGTATATACCTCCGTTACACTGCTGATCAGTGTATATCCCTCCGTTACATTGCCGATCGATGTATATACCTCCGTTACACTGCTGATCAGTGTATATCCCTCCGTTACATTGCCGATCGATGTATATACCTCCGTTACACTGCTGATCAGTGTATATCCCTCCGTTACATTGCCGATCGATGTATATACCTCCGTTACACTGCTGATCAGTGTATATCCCTCCGTTACATTGCCGATCGATGTATATACCTCCGTTACACTGCTGATCAGTGTATATCCCTCCGTTACATTGCCGATCGATGTATATACCTCCGTTACACTGCTGATCAGTGTATATCCCTCCGTTACATTGCCGATCGATGTATATACCTCCGTTACACTGCTGATCAGTGTATATCCCTCCGTTACATTGCCGATCGATGTATATACCTCCGTTACACTGCTGATCAGTGTATATCCCTCCGTTACATTGCCGATCGATGTATATACCTCCGTTACACTGCTGATCAGTGTATATCCCTCCGTTACATTGCCGATCGATGTATATACCTCCGTTACACTGCTGATCAGTGTATATCCCTCCGTTACATTGCCGATCGATGTATATACCTCCGTTACACTGCTGATCAGTGTATATCCCTCCGTTACATTGCCGATCGATGTATATACCTCCGTTACACTGCTGATCAGTGTATATCCCTCCGTTACATTGCCGATCGATGTATATACCTCCGTTACACTGCTGATCAGTGTATATCCCTCCGTTACATTGCCGATCGATGTATATACCTCCGTTACACTGCTGATCAGTGTATATCCCTCCGTTACATTGCCGATCGATGTATATACCTCCGTTACACTGCTGATCAGTGTATATCCCTCCGTTACATTGCCGATCGATGTATATACCTCCGTTACACTGCTGATCAGTGTATATCCCTCCGTTACATTGCCGATCGATGTATATACCTCCGTTATATTGCTGATCGGTGTATATACCTCTGTTACACTGCTGATCCGTGTATATACCTCTGTTATATTGCTGCTCGGTGTTTATACGTCCATTACATTGCTGATCGGTGTATATACCTCCGTTACATTGCCGATCGATGTATATACCTCCGTACATTGCTGATCGGTGTATATACCTCCGTTACATTGCTGATCGGTGTATATACCTTACAATGCTGATCGGTGTATATACCTCCATTACATTGCTGATCTGTGTATATACCTCTGTTATATTGCTGATCAGTGTATACACCTCCGTTATATTGCTGATCGGTGTATATACCTCCGTTACATTGCTGATCCGTGTATATACCTCCGTTACATTGCTGATCGGTGTATATACCTCAGTTACATTGCTGATCGGTGTATATACCTCCGTTACATTGCTGGTCAGTGTATCTACCTCTGTTATATTGCTGATCAGTGTATATACCTCTGTTACATTGCTGATCAGTGTATATATCTGTTATATTGCTGGTCAGTGTATATACCTCCGTTACATTGCTGATCGGTGTATATACCTCCGTTACCTTGCTGGTCAGTGTATCTACCTCTGTTATATTGCTGATCAGTGTATACACCTCCGTTATATTGCTGATCGGTGTATATACCTCCGTTACCTTGCTGGTCAGTGTATCTACCTCTGTTATATTGCTGATCAGTGTATACACCTCCGTTATATTGCTGATCGGTGTATATACCTCCGTTACCTTGCTGGTCAGTGTATCTACCTCTGTTATATTGCTGATCAGTGTATACACCTCCGTTATATTGCTGATCGGTGTATATACCTCCGTTACCTTGCTGGTCAGTGTATCTACCTCCGTTACATTGCTGATCGGTGTATATACCTCCGTTCCATTGCTGGTCAGTGTATCTACCTCTGTTACATTGCTGATCAGTGTATATACCTGTTATATTGCTGGTCGGTGTATATATCTCTGCTATATTGCTGGTCAGTGTATATACCTCCGTTATATTGCTGATCAGTGTATATACCTCCGTTATATTGCTGATCAGTGTATATACCTCCGTTATATTGCTGATCAGTGTATATACCTCCGTTATATTGCTGATCAGTGTATATACCTCCGTTATATTGCTGATCAGTGTATATACCTCCGTTATATTGCTGATCAGTGTATATACCTCCGTTATATTGCTGATCAGTGTATATACCTCCGTTATATTGCTGATCAGTGTATATACCTCCGTTATATTGCTGATCAGTGTATATACCTCCGTTATATTGCTGATCAGTGTATATACCTCCGTTATATTGCTGATCAGTGTATATACCTCCGTTATAT